ATAATACCAATCTATCAATGGCATCCCCTCATGTCTTCTGAGTATGGCCATTTTCACCCCTTCTCTCAGTTAGATTTGAGTATATCATTAGCTTTGTGATTTTAGCATAAAAATAAATGTGGTGTTATTGATTTAAAGTATGATTGTCAATGCAATGTTGCTATACCTGCTATGCTACTGTAACTGCTGAAGTACAATATCCTTAGCAGTTAAGGCAGTGGATTTTCAAAATATGCGATTAACGTTTTCATAGTTTTTACATAGCACCGGAAATCACCATCACCAAACTTTTCATAGTTAGATATTGGTAACTGCTTTTAAGTGGCACATATGTAGGCACTATGCGTGACAGAGTTGACTGTAAATGTTGCATTGCATCTTTAATTTGAAGGGAAGTAAAGAAGGAAGGGAAGGAAGCATCAGCAAACACTTAGCAAACACTGTGTCTTCCTTTAGCTATAAATTACACTCAGGTTCTATTCTTGCTATTTATGCCAAGATAAAGTGAATCGTTCAGTGCAGGGATGCTAATACTTTAAACTATAGTTAGCTGAAAAACCTAGTTATGAATAAAAGCTCAGTAAGTAGATGATAGCAATGTCTGGAATATCTAGAAAAAAAAATTTAGAAATTCGTTAGTCAAAGCATGTCATATAAATCAAATATGGGATAAAATTGTATAACTTAAGGGTGTCCAATGTCTTTTATTCAGTTTCAGAGCAAGTAAATGAAATGCTAATAGCAAATAGTAATCCTAGTATATGACTGAATGAAGGTATAATATCTAAAAACATGACAATCTGCATTTCTAATATAGGGTTGTTTATTCTATAGCCTGTATTTTGTGTTCAAAATATGATATATATATGCATTTTGTGTTCAAAATATGATATATATATGTATATATATGTGTATCTCTCTCTCTCTCTACATATATATATATGCATGTAGAGAGAGAGAGATACACATATATATACATATATATATATCATACTTTCTATGTATGTTTCCTTATTTGTTTAAGCTTATAGTTTTGTGTTATAAAACATACCTTGTAATGCAATATTCTGCTTGTAATGCAATATTATTCTTATTTGATTTTTTAAAACGTAAGAATCAAGTACAAAGAAGTCTCTTAATAGAAACCTTTTGGGAGGGGGAATGTAATGGAAAATCTCTCTTCCTGTAAAAGCATAAATGACCTTCTTTAGTGTATTTCCACTGGTTTTCAAGTGTAGCAAGAGTAATAAATCTTGGCAGCCAGAACATGCCACTCACCTGAGGGCTGTCAATCGTTCTCATTTTGAAAGACACAAAACTTATGAATTGTCAACACATCATTAAGGTGGGAAACCACTACTCATCAAGAGAAAGAATTAAAACGAATGCTCAAATAAATAGAAAATCAAAATGCTTCCTGGTCATTTTCTTCTAAGAGCTTAGAACACACAATCTACAGTTCATATGCTATAAAAATTGTAACATGCGAGATATGGGAAACAAACTGAATGGCTATTACTTTCCTAGTGGAATACGGTCTAGAGATCAGTGGCTTGAATTTTTCTTTTTATTCCATATAAAGTAAATTATTTGTCACTGAGCATCCCCCATAAACACAACTATCTAATCCTGAAACTGCTGACAGCCTCGTAGGCTATTTCAGTAGTGGAAGCCAGGACTAAACACAGCGAACTGCATTAGAGTTGGTCCCTGGAGGACAGAATTGAGCTTCATTGGCAAGGGCACTGTAAGAGTTCCATTTGACTCCTCATTAAACCTCTCACAGGGATTCTAGCTTCATCTCTGTGTCTGCTCATGCTTTTGTATAAAAGAGATAGATGTGAACCACATAGGCAGAGATACATTTCTACATATTTAGGAAAAGATCACTTTTCTTAGTAAAAACCAAGACTCCTACAGACTTTGAAAAGACGTGCCAGTTTCATAATCATTAACCATCTTTTTTTAATTTTCAAAGGAAGTAGAGAGCTTTATTTCAATTTGTGAGAACTTATGTTTTCAATGCTTATTTTATGGCATGTAAGAGATTTTATTATTTTTTATTATTTTTCTGTGTTTATTTTTCTCCCGGAAAAGTAGCATTAGGGGAAAACAGTTGGTGATAACGATCTCAGCCTTCTTTACCTAACAGTGTGGTTGTCGTAACAAAATCTGGACAAATACATAGAAGCAATCGGTAAAACGTAAATTACTATATGCACTGTATGTTGCCTCTGGCTGTTTTGTTGATTTGGAGTCTTGAAAATAACCTAATTAAATTTATCATACTTTGGAAGTATTGTATTGAGAAACCAGTCGATAGTTCAAAGAAACACGAAACATGCTCTATGAATTGAAAACCCCACACTGCTGATGACACAGCATTCACATTCTTTATGAGAGTCTCTTCTAGGACAATTCAAAGGACTGTTATGGTTTAAGTGCCATAAAAACAAATGAAAGTATTTTATCCAGCAATAGCAATGTAAAATACTTTTCTCTAGAGAGGGAATTTTCTAGGTGATTGTAAAATAATCCTTTCAGTCTTCAGCCATCTAACCACAATGATAGTAATAAAATAACAACAATGCCAATTACCAATGCTTTACTACTCAACTGTGTTGTGCTGCTATTTTTCCTCCAAAGTGGTCCATGTGTACATGTGCACAGAGAGGAAGAGCTAAACAAATTGTGACATATGACTAACAGAAAAACAGAAAGACATAGCAAAATATGATTATTTAAAAGTGTGCCGGCTGGGCGCGGTGGCTCACGGCTGTAATCCCAGCACTTTGGGAGGCCAAGGCGGGTGGATCACAAGGTCAACAGATCGAGACCATCCTGGTCAACATGGTGAAACCCCATCTCTACTAAAAATACAAAAAAATTAGCTGGGCATGGTGGTGTGTGCCTGTAATCCCAGCAACTCGGGAGGCTGAGGCAGGAGAATTGCCTGAACCCAGGAGGCGGAGGTTGTGGTGAGCCGAGATTGAGCCATTGCACTCCAGCCTGGGTAACAAGAACAAAACTCCGTCTCAAAAATAATAATAATAATAAATTTAAAAAATAAAAGTGTGCCTCATTGTGAAAGTTTTTGTTGCATTTACGAGATTAATGTATGATCAGAACTGCTTTCAAATGCTCTACACACATCAGCCAAGACTATATGCATGTATATTCATACACATGCACACTCATGAATATCATCCTACAGTCCCATAATTCACAGACACATTTAAAACTAAACGCTTCTCCAAAGAGCGATCGTTGGCATCCTGTGAGTGTGATCGTTGCCCTCGGCCTACACATATCTTATGTTTTAGGGGTTAGGTCACTTTATAGCCACTTCTGAGGACGAGTGGAAATAAAATGCTGCTTCAGGAGCATCAACATAAAAAGAGAACATATTAAACCAAAGTTCCGGCAAGTGCAATCCCAAGGATTAAATGGTCAGATAGCCCATAAGTCTGACCCAGAGGGAGAGAGGAGCAGCTAACATTTTCTCCAAAGAAAGCAAAAGTCCAAACCAATGAAGAGTGCACAGGAGGGCACTGAAGAGAGCATGTGATAGGAAGAAGATGAAAGCAGAAGCTTCCAAACAAAGACACCAAATTCAGACCATCCTTCTATATTTTCATCCATATGACATTTAGTACACATGTATGTGTGTGTGTGCATATATATTTTTTCACACTTATGTAAATATACTGAATGTGAAACTTCCTTAAGACACATACATACAACCACCAAATGATTAGTGTTTGGCCACTGCTCATCCAGAAAACGCTGAGTAAACACAGGCCTGGATCCTGTTCTGGGCCACCACTCCCTAGCTGTATGACCAAAACAAAGTCTGTGCCTGAACAACTACATTCATGACCAGAGTGGCCTCTCCTGTCTCCTGGTGCCCAAGCATGCCTCCGGGATAAATAGGTTCCAATACTGACAGGGCACGGTAGGGTAATTTACAGGACATTAAGAAGTGATTGCTCTCTGAATGGTGCATACCGGGGTTGATTTTGACAGACTTATTTTTCAAAAAATACACATAACAAAAAAGGAGACACGTAGTAGATTAGGGACTCACAGCTTGAAAGTCGTTGCTTGTGATTCTAAAAAGTCCCAGGAAAATTATCCACAGATAACTGTTAAAAAACAAATAACTGTTTGTACATATCACTGACACTTGGACAACACAGGGATTCATTCCATGGAAAATCCACATGTAACTTTGGACTCACCAAAAACTTAACTACTAAGAGCCTACTCTTAACTGGAAGCCTTACTGATAGCATAATATACAGTTAACACACATTTTGTGCTGCATGTATGCTATACCGTATTCTTACAATAAAGTATGCTAGAGAACAGAAAATATTATTAAGGAGATCATGAGGAGGAGAAAATACATTTACATTCACTGAGTACAAATGAATTCTCATAAACGTTTTTAACGTCATCCTTTTCAGGTTGAGCAGGCTGAGGAGGAGGAGGAGGGTTTGGTCTTGGTGTCTCAAGCCTGGCAGAGGTGGAGGAAAATCTGCATATAATTGGACCCACGAGTTCAAACCCGTGTTGTTCAAGGGTCTAACACGTAAAATATTGTCTTTTTTTCCTCCTTCTATATTCAGCTTCAGGTGACCCGACAGACTTTGGTATTAAAAGAGAATCTGAAATGTACAAGAACGTCTGATTTCAAATGGAAAACGTACATAATTGCACTATTTGTTCCTGGGTGAGTGTGGGACGGAGAGGATGAGAGTGTTTAAACGGGATGGGGAGAATGGAAGCAGTGGGAAAGGAGAGAAAATACCCTTCCTAACACACACGCACACACACACACACACACACTCACACTACACACAGTTTCTACAGTCACAACCACCCAGGTGTTACTGATCCTTTATAACTGCACTTGAGTACAGCTGTAGGAAGATTGAGAGGGAACTGGGATCTGGCGCCTGGATTGCTCAAGAGGGGTCAGGGAACCCCCACAGAACTCGGGAGACTCAGAGACTGTGGGAAGTGTTGAGGCGGAGTCTGCAGTGGGGTCTGTCCAGCAGTGGCAGGCAGCGGAGGGTTGGGAGGCTGCTGTCATTTCATGGGTAGGCAGTCAGAGTGAGAGTGTCCCTGCTGCTAGAGGACCACGGCGGGCTGGGCGCGGGGGCCCCCGCCTCTCGCTCACCACGCGTACCCCGCGCCTCCTCCGGCAGCCACGGTGGTGGCGGCGGCAGAGCCTCGCCCACTCCAATCCCCACCCTCTTCATCCTTAGTCATTAAAGAACAGCGGCGCCTGGCACGTTCTCGGAGGACCCCGGGCGCAGAGGAGGAAAGGGAGCAGGCGCAGGGGGACTGGAACGGCGGCATGCGCCCGCCAGGAGCAAGCTCGGCGCCCACGGTCTGAGGCTGCAGCCCCAGTTCGCCATTGTGAGCCGCCGCCGGGGGAGTCCGCTAGCGCAGCCGTGCCCCGGGGTCCCCGTCCGCGCAGCGATGGGGCACCTGCCCACGGGGATACACGGCGGCCTCCGCCTCCTGCCTCTGCTCTGGTTCTTTGTGCTGTTCAAGGTAGGGGAGCTCCCCCCACCCCTCCTCCCCGGCGGTCCGGGCGGCCGCCGCGCTCAGGCGCCCTCGCTCTGCCGAGAGGAGCGGCGCGCCCCAGGGCGCAATGACCCGGCCGCGGGAAGCGCCCGCCGTGCAGCCTGGGCGCGCGCTTTGTTGTCCTTGCGTGTGCGTGTTCCTGGTGGTCTTGAGAGGTGGGGGTGGAAGAATAAGCGAAGTTTGCGCTCTCCAGCGTTCGCCCTTTGTGCTCTTTTCCCGCCGCCGATACCCACATCAGAGGTGGGCTTGTTGGATGGTGCTTTCTCAGGCAAAATGAGGTCACTCTCTTTTCTGGTTTCCACTGCCCCCCAACACCGCTTAACCTTTCCGCCCTCCCTCGCACAGAATGTGCGGCTGCTTTGTCTTAATTTTCCTTACAGCTGGAATTATACACTGGGGAATGGAGCGGGACTCAGCTCCCTGGCCACAAATAGACTGCCAGGGCTGCGTTAGGGCAGAATTTTCCTTGAATAAGGAGTGTCAGATAGAGCTTGGCAAGGATTCCTTTCCCCAACTCCTATCAACATCTTTACGATTCCTTTTAAAAAGTCTCTAGACTTTCTCCGGTATATTTACAGATGATACTACCTCTAGATTTAATGGTGGAAAAATATATAATAATTAACTTTTCCCTACCTTCTTTGGAATGTGCTACCCTGCGGTTTTACTTTGAGAAAAATGAAAAGGTGTTGCTTTTGAAAAATCAGTCTGATAACTATACTGTAGATAATTTTTTGGAATAAATGTCGGCCAGATATTTTCTTGGAAGGCGAAGTGAAGTTGCGAAGTGATTGTGTATCACTCATGTCTTTAGCGGATATACTGTAGCTCTGTCATTAGTCCTTTCCCCTCTCGGCAAAGCAAACTCAAGAATGTCGACAGGTGACTCGGAGCTATCCTTTCAGAACCACAGTGATACTTACCCTAGAGATGGATGCGAGGTTAACCGGTCTAAAGGTTTTCCTATTATAGAGTCACTTCTTGCTTATATGCACCATTAATTATGAATGCCTGGAAAGAATTTAGTGGAACATGACCAATGGATAACGAAAAGCATTAATTTTATATACTCCACACTTTCATTTGTCTTAACGCAAAATAGAAAAAAAATTTTCAGGGAGGAACAACAGCAGAATGCCTAAGTAAGACCTTAAATTATATTAATATGCGGGTGTTGAACAATGAGAACGCATGGACACAGGGAGGGGAGCACTACACACTGGGGTCTGTTGGGGGGAATAGGGGAGGGACAGCGTGGGGTGGGGAATTGGGGAGAGATAGCATGGGGAGAAATGCCAGATATAGGTGAAGGCGAGGAAGGCAGCAAATCACACTGCCACGTGTGTACCTATGCAACTATCTTGCATGTTCTTCACATGTACCCCAAAACCTAAAATGCAATAAAAGAAGATAAAAACAAACTCCATCTCAAAAAAAAAGCAGACATAAAATCCTAAAACATACTTCTAAAAACTGCTCATTCTTTGGTTTTCTTCATAATGTTGGATGTAGACAGAATAAAATTAAAATAAATCTTTAAAAAATAAAAAATGTATATTAATATGCTTTTACATTTTCTAAGTGATCAATAATCATTTTATTTTAAAATATGGTAAATAATAAGCTCAGTTATATGTTTTTACTGTAGGAGGTTGTTCTTTTGTACACATCACAAATGTATTAGACTTATTAAGCTGTCTATTAGTCATCGTCTATCAAACTGTCACGACTATTTTACCTATGCAATAATTGTCATGAACTCAAAATAAGAAATCAAGTCAATATAAGTTTTACTCACAGCTAAGACTTATACATATGACATCTGATCCAAACCTAACCTTTAGCACAACTGCAGGTTTTTGCTTGAGTTCTTCATGAGAAAATTCCAGAAATGAGAGAATTATTTGGTTGGGAGTAGGGGTAAGGTTTAGCAATTAAATGAAATAAGCGTGGCCACGGTTTGACATAAAACTCAATATTGGAATGAGAAAATGCAGGTAGCGATGGCATAATGATAATGTCAGTGATTGCCATAAGGTCCGACCTGCTTGCCGTCATTGGTACATTCCTGAACGTTGCTGGTAAATGTAAACTATGGCAAACTGCATCACATAGTAAATACATTGGCAAAGTTTGCCATTTAAATAATAATTATTGTAATGGGACACAATTTTATAAGAAAAATCATTGTCTTTTAGTTTATGTGAATGTAATGTTTTGTCATCTGAATATAAAATATATCAGAGGAAAGAAGACAAAACCGTATGTATTAAATATCTGTGCCAGTTTTTCAGGTATTTTACTTTACATATGCTATTTCATTTGCTCCTATTTTGTTGCAGTTGGCAGAGTTGTTCAAAGTGGCAAATTGGGCACATAAGGTAACGTCTTACATTTCGGGGATAGTATATTACACGTACATTGGCCACATAGTATAATCTCTTTGTAATGTGGATATATTTTCTAATTCTAGGTCCTGAATAAGTGCCAGTAAAATATATCCTGAATAAGCAGGTGGTGATAGAAGGATGGGAAAAATTCCATTATTAAATACCAAATTGCTGACTGTATCTCATAATAAAATCTAAAATGTTCCACGTGTGCCAAGTCAGAAATAAAACATTTTCTCAACTCTCCCCTGCCAAAAGAATTCCATAGTTTTCACCATAGTTAATACATTTGTCACTACTCCATATGAGTACCCTTCATAGAAGAGTGAAAACCCTAAAAGACCATAAGACAGAGAAATTCAAGTATGAAGTTTAATTTATAGTTTTATATTTTCCACAACTCACAAATAAGCAGCTGGATATCAATGGTGGAAAAGTATGGAAGTTTGAATGTGTATAAGTGACTATAACCAGTTCCGTCGAGGGAACCTAAATGTGACTGGCAAAAAAGTCTTTGTGCCACATTTCCTTATCCTTGCAGTTGTGATGAGCACACAGAGTCGGGCATCTCAGATTGTCTAAATCATCCACTGCACATTTGAAGCTAATAGCTGCATAACTGATCTTGCCGAAACACAATGTTGGTTATGAAAAATTTTATTTTTATATCAATATTGATGATGTATGTAAAATAGAAGCAAAAAATGGAATCCTGCTATTAAGTGGACAGCTACTAATTTCAAAGTCTTCTATGGATGAATGCAAGTGAGGTATTTATCTGGTGAGCCTGGCTGTTGTGCATCTTCCCATAATTCCCAGTGAAAGAAATGTAACTATCTACACTTGTCCTATATCTTTCCCGAAGCCCTCCTGGAAAATGTCTTCCTGTGTCAGTTTACTCAGTATAAGTACTGTGTCTACTAAGATGTAGATTGTGGAATTTGACATCACAGGAATTTGAAGTTGGCCTTCCCTGAAATGTTGCATTTCAGTAGTCAGCTGGAATATTTTCCTAAACTCATGGGCTTGGCGCTGGTCCTTTTTTAACCCCTTCTCTCTATTTCTTTCTATTTCTGCCTTTACCAGAGATATCATCAAAGAATATTAAATTTAAAAAGTCTTAATATTGTATTTTCTGAAACAGGTTCATATTTTATTCTATGATATAGAATTATATTCTAGTGGTATGATACTGGCCATTCCACTCTTATCCAGGAGAAATATCTACTTTCCATGGTCCATCTGCCTTTCTCCCTTTCCTATGTCTGCCCCCCGCCCCATACACACACACAAATAAGTTTCTCTTTTCATGGTTGAGGTTTCATCCATATATCGCACAGTGTTGGCAGGTGAACCATAATGCTTTCATTTTGCTAGAGCAGCTTAGAATCTTTCCATCACAATGAAGTTTGCTGCCCCTAACTCCTGTGTCATCTGAGTCCTTTAATAAATCATATTGCCATCCTTTTGGAGAAACCTTTTTACATGTGACATCCCCAGTAGGTTGGCAAAGGCTCGCTGGGCCATGCTTCTACAGATGATCAAGTAATAATCCTTCCCACTGTGAACATATGTTTGCTTTTGTTCTTTGTTATGTGAGAGACTATTGTTGTACGAAGGAATTGAAAATTCACATTACACCTCTGCCTCATTTTAACCCAAAAGAAAATGTACATTTATACGCATAAGTGATTAAAAACCATATGAGTTGCACTTTATTTTTAAATGTAACACTATTTCTACTATCTAAATACCCAAGTTAAAGGTATTCAAACTTATAAACAGATTTACTCCTGAACCTTATCAATATAATGCTAACTTGCAGCTTAGGGTTTGTGAAAGAATATTTGATGTCAGATACAGTTGATGCACCTATAAAAAACATCGTGGTTGGTAGCCGTGTGGCACAATAGAAGGCTTAGCAACAAGGACCACAGATAACAAGTTCTCACCTTCTCCCTAATTTAACCTCTCCATACACAGTTCCAGTCATGTTGCATTTTCAGAAACACAGCCCAATGCAATGATGAGCTTTACTATAAAGTATTTAACGTTTTCATTTAATTACTCCAAATACGTTGTAAATATTTTTGAAATAAAGGCATATCTATTGTAATATATCTATCTTCCATGGTGTTAGTATGGGGTGTCAGGAATTCAGTAGAAGCTTAATAAATGGGATTTAAATTTTCTGCATTACATAAAAGCTTCTGAAAATTATGAAGTATCATAATATTAACTTGTGAACACATCTTTAAGGAAAATGTAAGAAAAATTATCATTATGTGAGTTAAACAATCATAACTACAATGCTACAATGCACTCATTACATTAAAATGGCAAAAATTTTACCAATCACTTATATTCGGATCTTATTAAAACCATGAACCAAAATATCAATGTGTTATTTTCCCAAAAATGTAATACTCTCAATTGCTCGTTTATTTGTTAATGTTGCCTCACCTCTGTTTAATGTTATTAATTAAAAACTAGCAAATGACATACTAGAGGAAATTGATTTTTTTTTACCCTCTATGGGTGATGTACAACTTCAGCCAGTACTCAGATATACAGGTG